TCTGATTGCACAGCCTGAAATGGTATTTTGAAAAATACCATTTGTAAATCGACAAATTAGCAAACGTTTATTATATCTCCTCCCTTGCTCCAGTCCTTGTCTGTTCCACTATTCCACTTTCTGTAGCTTCATTTTCTTCTCCGTTCAGGTCTTGTGGGAGGAAAAGTAAGCTCCTTCAGTTAACACGTGTTAAGGATAAAGTAACTAAGGGGCAAATCCTGGGGTGACTTTGCATATATCCCTGGGGGGTAGTTGTATGGGATGGTTGCCAGGGAATATCAGTTCTTTGGGGCATGGCCACAAGGCATTGCCCACTCCATAGGATCTGGGGGAGGGGCCCAGTACAGCTCAGCTGGTCAGGGGCTTCTGGAAAGCACAGCCTGACTTTGTCACTAACACCTAAGGCAGCATCCACAGAGAGCGCTGCTTCTCCTCGCCTTCAGCCTTCCTCACCGCACTGCTCATCAGCTAGGGATCAGATGGTGCTCAGGAGCATAAAGATTGGTGGAGTCATCCAGGCAGGAGTAGGGAGAGCTGCTGGGTGAGGCCTGAGGGATACGAGCTCATGGACTAGATGTCCCTGCATACTGTCACCGTTTATGCCATCACTCACACCCTTAAAGCTTCTCTCCAAACCCTCACATGCCTGCTTCCATCCCAGAGTGCGCTTTCAGCTCCCCCTCTCTGAAGCCACATCCCCAGTGTCCTCTGGCAGGAGTGAAGGCACCACTCAGTGTCAGCCATCAGACTAGGGCTGCAACTTGGGGGATCAGGGGACAGTCCCAGGCGCCCTCTTCTTCCTACTCTCTCCACCCCCCACCCCATCCTGCCCCTGCATCAGCCCAGGGAGGCCCCAGACCCTCGTGGGGCGGGGGAAGGTAAGGGGAGCAGCCCTGGGGCCTGGTTCTCATTTTCTTGCCCAGAGTCTGAGCCTTTGTGGGAAACTTCTGAAGGTTATTAAACACCCGGAGGTCGTTAAATGCGCTGTTAACGAGGTATTAATCAACACCCCTCAGGAAAAAATAAAAAGACACCATTAACCCCCCCAGGAAGCGTGAGGCTGAGCATTTCAGTCGCATCTTTTGTTCGTTTGGAAGAAGAAATATACTCTAGCAGGGCCAGAATCAGGGCCCAAGCAGACCTGGGGCCCCCACTGAGGCCTCAGGCCCTGGGACTGTGGAGGTGGGAGGGAGGGAAGACCCTTGTGCCCTTTGACCCTAGGCTACAGAGGCATCTATCATGTGAGAGAGCTGTGTGTGAGTGTGTGTGTGTGTGTGTGTGTGTGAGGGGAGGGTTGCGGATGGTTGGATGGATAGAGCGATCTCGCCCAGGCGATCCCGGGAGACCAGAGAAAGGAGTGGGAGGTGTGCAGTGGGGCATGCTATGTGGGCATTTTCTATTAGAACCCACAGCATCAAGCCTGAGGGGGAGGGAGGCTTTGGTGGCCTGGGGGAGCAGAAAATCTAAGAATCATTATCCGGCTCTCCCCTGGTTTATTGAACAGTGAACGGGATTTGAAATTTTAAATGACTGAGGTATTAGAACAACATTATTTCTAATTCCCTTTACACTCACCTAAAGACTCCTAAGCAAGAAGACTCTACCTCGCAGGCTTCTCTGGCAGCAGATGTGGCCTGGCTGTAGAAGCCAGAAGGATACTGGCCTGGGGGTTGGGGAATAAAAGTAGGAGACCACCCCTAAATCAGTCCCTAAACTCATACTGAGGGGCTCCTTTCCCCCCTTGTCACTTTTCCCTGAACAGAAAGAACCTGCATCCCTGCCCACCTTAGTAACCCCTAGGCAACTAACCGGTCTCTGACCCTGTAAGAGCACCATAGCCAATCTCAGACAGACAGACCCAGCCTAGGTGTAGTAAGGGAATGGCTGAAAACTACTCCGTTGAAATTTTTTTCCCCCTTTGGAGCCTTCAGAATTGGGGTTGGGGGCCAGACATTAAAGTGGAGGACTATTCTATGATATGTGTGATGTTGGTTAGCTGGATGCTTACAGGAAGCTGGGTGGGGTGAGTGAGTGAGTGAGAGGTTCCTTAAGAGACAGGAAAGCATAGCAAACCTCAAACCTGTCCCAAGGGAGGTGGGGGCCTTGAGTCAATTAACATGTAATGTCCTGCTAAGTCACTCAAAACCTATTCTACCACCTCACAATCTGGTTGACACTCCAGGGTTTCCAAAAAGTTCCCAAGAGCAAAGAGGAAACGAAGCAAACAAGATCCTCCCAGTTATGATGGCCACGTAACCAGCCACTCACTCACTCCCTAAAGCTCCTGACACAGAGTCAGCTGCACAACTAGGCATAACCACCCACGACTGTTGATTCTGTCCAACCTCCTGCAACCAGTTCTGGGCCCAGGACCTGGTTACAAGTGTGTGACCAGCAGACTGGGAGCCAGCAGGAATATAAATAGCATTCTCTGTCTCCTGTTCAGCAATGCCCACCCTAGGCCTGGTGTCTCCCCTCTCACTTTAAGGAAGGAGAAGAACTGGGTTTCTGGTCAGTTCTGCTAGGTGCAGAATGGTTAAACTCTGCAGGTTAGGAGATGGAAGACGAACAAGTTTCCTCTGCTAGGGGGTAGGCATACACCCTATTTTCACTGGGCCAAGAGTCATCAGGGACTCCCCTCAGTCTGCTCAGACATGTGCAAAGGGAATGGTTTGTCTAATCCTAGGGTCGACTCAAGGATGGAGACCTGGGGGAATGGAGGACCTGTGTGTAAGAGACCAACTCTCTCAGTCTAGTCTGAAGGGGACAAGGTGGGGTCTCATCTCTTTCTGAGAGACAGAGTCCTATTTAGTAGAAATCTGAACATCTAGTTTTCTCAATCTTCCAGCCTCTTGGCCACATTCGCTAAGAAAATGTGACATTCAGACCCTCAGACCCTTAGCCAGTGTTCCTGAGAAGTGAGCAAAGACCCTGAGTTTTCCCCGGTGGTTCAAGGGCCCTCTCTAAGGTTTAGAGGACCCCGCGGGTTGATTCTGAGAAGAGCTGTGCATTTTCTGGCCTACTACCCCAACCTCTTGAGTCTTTCTAGAGGCTTCTGGGTGGGGTAGGGAGTGAGGGCATTTTCTGGAAATCAAGCCTGACATAGGGTCTCTCTCTAGCCCATCACTGTCTCGCCCTACTTCCAAAGACAAACAAGTTACTATTTACAAGCTGAGAGAATGAGGTTCCGATTCCACCAAGAAAGGGGACTCTGAGTTAGGACCCTGACTCAGGGACCTCTGTACCCTGCCTCATTATAAAGTCATTTCTCTGGTGCCCGACACCTTAGCTCCAGCCAGAAGTAGGATCCTCAATCCTAACAGACCCCGGGGCCTGAGTTTTGGGACCCTTTGTCCTGTCTGTCTTCAAGGGCTACAGTGTGGAAGCTGTAAAGGGATGCGGGAGACAGGGTGTTACAGTGGGAAGCATCACGTTTCAGGTTCCATCCCTGCTTAACGTGGGCTCAGCCACTGGGGGTCCGTTTCTTTATCTAGAAGAGCAATGGTTCTCCTTCGGCCAGAGTGACCGGCCCGGGCACTTCCTGCCAGCACCCTCCCCTCCCGCACCTCGCCCTTGTACCTGCAGCACGTTGGGGTGCCGCAGCCGCTCCAGCAGCACCATCTCCTTGAGCAGCTTGTGGGCCGCCAGCCGATAGCAGCCCCTCCGCGCCCCGAACTCGCGCACGCAGCTGCCCAGGTCGTGGCCGCTGAAGTCCACCGCCTTGAGCGCCACCGCGGCGCCGCCGGGCAGGCGGACCCGGTACACGGCCTTGGTGTAGCCCGAGCCCACGTACTGCGCGCCGGACACGTTGCGGAGCGCGGCGCAGCCCAGGCGCGGGCCCCGGCCGGGGGAGCCGAGGCCGGGAGCCGGGGGCCAGCCCGGGGCGCCGTCGGGCAGGGGCCGGGCCCGCGGGGGCCGGGGACGCTGCAGGCCCGGCCCACCCGGAGCCAGGTCCATCAGGCGCCGCCGCTCCGGCCGGCCGGCCCCGGGTCCCGGGCCCCCGCGGGAGTAGCGCTGCACCTCCTCGTAGCGCGCCCGGATCTGCCGGGCCAGCTCCCCGCGGCCCCCGCGACGGCCCGGGCCCGGGGCCGGCGAGGGCCCGGGGGACTGGCCTGGCCGCGGAGGCTCCGAGCCCGGTGCGAAGAGCACGTTGAGCACCGAGCCCAGCAGGAAGGAGGCGCAGAAGCCCGCGGCCACCGCCGCCCGCCGGCGCCGCATCGCTCCCCTCCCCCGGCCGGCCGGCCCCGCGCGGCTCCCGGCCCCGGTCCCGGGAGGCTCAGGCTCTGAGGCGGCTCCGCTCCGCGCCCCGCCGGCCGCCGGCCCCGTCCGCGCGCATGGCCCCGGCCGCCCCGACCCCGGCCCCGGCCCCTCGCGGGCGGCACATCGGCCTGACACTTGCCTCCCTCGCGCCCTGCCCCCGCCGCTTATAAGGCCCGGAGCCGCCCCCGCCCCCGCCTCCCGGCTCCCGGCCCGAGCCCGTCCTCGGCGCCGCCCCCTCCGGCCGCCCGGCCCGGCCTTCCCCGCTGACTGACAGCGGGACCTCCTCCCGCGGCCGTCCGGGCCTGGGAAGCGGCGAGGAGGCGGCTCCCGCCCTGCCCGGCCGCGGCCCGCGGAGCCCGGGAGCGGGGAGGGGGCGGGGCGCCCCGGCGGCCCCCGGCAGATAACGGGGCGGGGGCTGCGGCATAACGGGACGGAGAGGCGGATAACGGAGCCCGCCGGCGGGGTGGGGGGAAACGCGCGGGGCGACGCCGTGGGGAACGGGCTCCGAGGGCCGCGCAGAGGGGCCGGAACGGGCCGGGGGCGCGTGTGAGCCGGCGCGCGCCGCCCGGAGCCGCGCGGTCTCGGGACGGGTGGGCCGGAGACGGCTCCCGGGTCCGGGTCCGGCTTCTCGGGGGTGAGCGGGGCGGAGCGGCTCCTCGCTCAGTCCTGGGGTGCGGGGGGGGGGGGGGGGGGGAGCCGAGGGGGCGGAGGGCGGGGCCGCCATGTGGGGTTGGCACCTGCGGGCGCGCGTGACGGGAGCTCTGGCATCCGAAGACTCATCGTCAGGTTGAGTCTCTTTTACCAAGGCTGATTTTCCTTGTCCCTGAGCCCAAAATCGAACCCCTCCCCATCCCTACAGTTTGACGCGGTCAGCAGCGGATCGAGAACCACATGCTCGCCGGTAGTGTGCGCAAAAAGAGCGCATTTGTGCCCACGGGCGTGCGTGGCTCAGCTAGTCTGGAGTGTGTGCACTGGAGGCTCTGAAGGGGCCACTATAGCCGAGGGAGTGTGCACCGTGTGTGTGAAGTTGGTGCTGACTCTGCCAGAACTTCTGGTCCCTCCTCCTCCCTCCCTGATTGCATCATTAGTGCTAATTGAGGGGCTTTCACACGCCAGTGCATTAGCTGTTTGGAGTGAGCTCCCCCCTCCTGAGAGAGATAAGCCGCTGCACCTCCCCCTCTCAGCCCTTCACTTCCCCACCGCCCTGGAACTGTCCACCTATATCCTCTCTCCTTACTGGGCACCTTCCTGCTCCCTCTGATCCTGAATGGCTCAACCTCTCTTCTCCCCGTAGTGTCTGAGATTGGCTGGAGAGGAGCCAGGGGGGAGGATGATGATGACCGAGAGCCCCCTCTTTTAGGTTGATCAGGAAGGGGTGATTTTCCCGTCGAAGAGGTCTGGGATTCCCGCAGAATGCAGAATGACTGCTGACAGAGGGGCAGGAATCTGTGGCCCGGCCTGTTGACCATGGAAGGTCTGAGGAGAGGCTTGAGTCCTTGATCTCCAGCCTGTGGAGATCACACTGAGGTAAGGGGATCCAGCCCTGGCCTGGGGTCCCCTAAGGCCCAGTCTAACAGCATGCTTGGGAAAGTCAGTGTGGAAAGTCACGGTACCCCTGAGAACTTTGGGTTTGGAGGAGTGTGGTCTGGTCCTGTTTAGCTGCTCTGCCCTGTGCTGGCCCATGGCTGCTGGGGTGGGGGGAAGGCTCTGAGCAGATGCCCTCCCCAGCCCTCACACCAGATGTCTTTGGTCTAATTAACTGTGCTGGGAAAACCAACCTGGGTTTGTAAACAGAGCTACTGGCTAAAGTCAACAGGGAGCAGCAGCAAACAGCAAACACTCCCCTCACACTCAGGCTCAATCCACCCTGGGAAGGGAGCTGGGCTGATCATAGGGGGTGGGGGTGGGGGGGGGACCTGGCCCAGCTGAGTCAGGGAGAACCCATCTCTTTCTGTGACCCCAGTATGACTGTTTCCATACCAGTTACAGAGACTCCGCTCTGGGGAGGAAGAGGGAGGAATGGAGTAGCCCCCCCAGGGTCTGCTCTGCCCCCTCCCAGCTGTCTTTCCCTATGTTCCTAGCCCCAACTCCCAATCCATGAGGAAGCCATTGTGTGTATGTGTTGGGGGTAGGGGGGCTGGAGGGGGCGGGTATTCCTTGAAGAGCTTTCTTTGGGGCCTCCTCTGCTCTCCCATCTTGAAGAAGTCTCTGAGGTAGGACTTGGCATTGGGGTCTGTAACTCAGAGCTGGTGAATATAACATGCACATTGTTAAGTTCATTACACATCATGTAGGTATTATAATAACATGTTCTGAAATTAGATAATTATTCCTGTGATATCTTTGCCAAGCTTCAGGGTTTCTGTTATGGTTTGCAAGTTCGATGTATATAGAGGCTTGAGAAACAGGCACAAAGGTGCATAGGATGCAACACATATGCCCGGGGAGCAGAAGCCTCACACGGGAACAAAGGCATTTCAACCCCCACCTTCTCACACTTGCTGTCTCCCTCCTCAGCTCTCAGACATATCGACATATGCAATCTGAGATGGAAATTGGTGTGGGGCCTTTGAAAGAAAGACGTTGAACTTTTTGAACAGATCAGACTTTCTGAATTGGCAGTTCTTGAGGTCTTGAGGTCTTAACCAATTTTCCATATTTGCTTTTTTTTTTTTTTTTTTTTTGCCACCCAGGGAGTAAAATCATCTTTTCAAAGAATTGAAATAGACACAACTGCTGTGGCGGGGGTCAGATCTCCAGTCTGCCTCCCAGGCTGGAGTCCTCAGCCCGGGTCTGGCTCAGTGCTCAGGGCCATCTTCACTCTAGAGTCCTCCAGTCACTCAGCCACAGAAGACACAGACCAGAGTGGCTGCCAGTAGAATGGATGTTCAGTGCTTCACGCTCATCGTATTTTTCTGCTCCTCCCTCTTCCTACCACGCCCCACCCCACCCAAACACTAATTTGGACAGCAATCCCTGGGAAGGAAGGCAGATGGCTCAGACTCCAAACTGCTGAATTTCTTTGGAAATATCTTCTAGATACGCCCTTTCTGCCTGTTGTGTCAGCTCATCTTGGGCTGCCAGGAGGCCAGTTCCAACTCTCAATAGCCCTTTTTATTGTCTGATTTTTTCCTTCCAGCCCAGGTTTCAAACTCTTCTTTTGGAGTATTACTCTCCTGGCCCTAAATCTGAAGGATAAACTGAACTGGGTTCAGGCCTCTGTGAGCTGTCAGGCCTCCCGGCCTGCTACCTGCACTGCCCCCTAACTTGCAGACCTCATTGGCTTTTTCCTATGTTGTCCTTGTTCTTCCTTCCTGAAATCCTTCTTCTTGTCTTTACACTTAATCCTTGCTAGGGGGTTTTTCAAGTTCTCCCAGAAAGAAGTAAGAGATGATACCTCTCCAACCCCAGTCTGTAAGTCCCTGGAACTTTATTTCCTTGAAAAAGAAATATACAAAATATATTTCTGAGGTCATAGAAATCTTGATGTAAAGAGCTTAGGACTTGGAGTGACAAAAATTTGGGTTTATATCTTATTAGTTGAGTTATTTTGGGCAAGTTAATTAACCTGTCTGTGTTTTCATTTCCTCATTAAAAAATGGGAGATGATAAGAGTACCTACCACATAAAATTGTTTGAGTGGAAGAAATGCAAAAACATAAAGTGCCTTGCACAGGTTAAACCCTCAATGTGTAAGCTATTGCTAGTATTAATAAAGATGTTAAACAAATAAACATCTGTGACGACATGTTAAACAACTTACTTGGCTGTCACTCTGCCTGGAGGCAGAAATGACTTTAACAACTTTCCATCCTGGTTTCTACTGGTGAAATCTCTTAGCTTCTGGGCTTTTTCTGTGCCTGGAATTTTCACCTCTTTCCTAATCAGCAAACCAAGTTTGATCAGAAGAAGGCTCCCACACACCTTGTGAACTGGGGAGGGAAGACCAGGAGGCAGGGCCTGACTCCTAGTGCCCCAGTGATGCCCAGCAGGGAAGGCCTAGACTGTGGTCCCTGAGGCAAGGGGCTGGAGGGAAGGGCCTGATTCAGAAAAAGAGGAAGGGAAAGAGGTGGAGCCAGGCAGCCTGCTCCCCTGCCCCCACCTCCCTCAGGTAGGAAGTGAAGCTGACGTTTCCAAAATATAAAAAACAGATGATGAAGGTCAGGTTTCCTATATACTGGAGAGCGGGAGCCCCAAGGCAGAGTCCCCAAGAAATGATCTGAGACAGAGTTGGGGTAGGGGGGCGGATAAAGAGGGAGGGGGGGGAGAGAGAGAGAGAGAGAGAGAGAGAGAGAGAGAGAGAGAGAGAGACAAGATAGACATGATGCAGAAACATGGAAACAGAGACAGAAAACCCTGAATCCTGAGAAGGGTAGTCAGACAAAGACAAAGACAGAAAGCCGAGGGCTCGGGAGAGATCATTCCACCGTTTCTGGAAAAGAGCTTAGTTCTCTTCCATGGGTCTCAGGATGGGAACATGAGCCATTTTGGCTCCCCGGCACTGTCAGAGGGTGAGGCCCTCCAGGACCCAGAAACCAAGGGGCTCCATGGGCTCTCAGTCTCTGTCTGTCTGGGTCAAGAGCGTCCCTCTCAGTCTCCCTCTCCAGGCCTGACTCTGTTCCTTTTTCTCCCTCCTGCTCAGCATCACCCACCAGCCCAGGGAAGTAGGTTTTGACAACTTTTCTTTCTTTCCCTTTTCTGGCATCTGAGATGTGTGTCTCCTCACTGTTTTTTTGATTGGAGGAGATGGAGTTTAGATGGGGACTTCACGCCCTCAGAAACAGCTGAGTGGTAACTGCTTGAGTTATCACCTAGAGGAAGGAGTGAGGGGCCTGCCTTAGTGTTGGGACCATCTTCTGAACGGAAACTGTCTGAAAGACCCTTTAAGGGGAGGAAGAACAATGCGAGCTGAGCTCGGGAATCTCTTTCCCCAGGCACATGGAGAGGCGGGTAGAGGGATGGGGAGCTGGCCATTGCATCAGTGGGTGATAGGTGATAGAGGTGGGGGGACAGAGGACTTTGCTTTTGTCCAGAGGCTGTTGCATGGGAGAGGATGAGGATGGAAGCACAGGGCAGGGTGATTTTAATCTAGTACATCACACCTTCTCTGACCAAGTCAAATATACCCTGCGTCAATGGGGCAACTTTTCTCCCAGGCATGGTCAAATAGAAAGAACCAATTCTTTTCTAGCAGCCTCAGGGCTGCGGTTTGGAACTTAGAAAAGAGGAAGAAAGAGAGGTTGTTGAGTTTGTGCATCTGGTTCTGGACCTGAGAGGGCTGATAATTCTCTCCCTCTTCCCTCCAGGCTGCCCCAGGGGGCTGACCTGGACCCAGGCCCAGGCCCAGGAGGAAGACTGTTTCTTACAGTTAAGGAGGTCTTGGCTCTACCTCTACCCTCAGGAGTTTGTGTTATGATTGGGAAGATTCACCCCCAAGCCATCAGGAACTAATACAAAGAATGTGGAAGGTCCGGAATTGTGGTAGGCGGGCTAGAAAGAGCTGTTCCTTCTCTGGAACCTTGATGGAGAACTGTCATGTACTGAAAACCTGCTCTGTGCCAGGAACTGTCTAACCTCTGACACATACTCTGAGGTCAGTATTATCACGTCCATTTTACAGATGAGAGAACTGAGGTTCATGAGATTGGGAAATCGGTCAAATGTCACACAAATTGTTAAGTGGCAGAGCAGACCACCATGCCATCAGGAATCAGGGACCCCAGCCCTGATCTCAGTCCTTGGTTGGTTTGGGAAAAACAAACAAACCAATTTCAGTCAAAGGGGGAGAAGCAGAGAACCAAGACAGCAGGAACCAAGATGGAGGTTCGTTAAAGTTATTTTTTATCTCCAAGCAACACAGTTTGGTCGTAAATGTTAGATTGTTCTTATTAATAATGATAGAGTACACTTACAAAATTTTATTATCATGTAATTCACCTAATACCTCTAGGAGAGAAATATTGCCATGACCTTCAGTTTTCAAGCTGAGAAAATTGACCTATAGAGTGGTCAGGTAGCTTGTGGCAGAGCTAGGAGGTTGGACACAAGGGACTCTAACTGCACAGCTGTGCTCTTCCCTCCTCTGCCCTGTAGTCTTAGTTTTGTTCATGGTCTGGGCTGATATCAGCTATAAAAATCCCAGGGTTAGATTTTCTAAGCCCAACACTGCAATCTTGCTTAAAAGAGGGGTATCTGATGATGTTTGAGCCTTAAAGGACAGAGTAGGCTCTGGGCAGGGAAGCAGTGGGGAGAGGAGGGAGACTCTGAATGAGGTACAGCAAAGAGACTCCCAGATTCCTTCCCTTTCCCTGCAGGGAAGAGAGTACAAATCAGGAGGGATGGTTTACAAAGGGTTAATGAGACTCTGGGAGTCTGCATGGAATTAAAGTAATTATTTGCAAAATTCCAAAAAGCACAAAAAAGGAAGTAAAAATTACACAAAATCCCTCCATTAAAGGAGATTATGTATCATAAGATGTGAAAGCCACCTTGCCTGCCCCTCCAGCTCCACCTGCAGAGGTAACCAC